ACACACACACACACACACACACACACACACACACACACACACACACACACACACACACACACACACACACACACACACACACACATCTCTGTATTTACTATAAAGGTAAGGTAAGGTACGTTTATTTATATAGCACATTTCGGACATGATCATTACATGATCATTAACACATGATAGTAGAACAGAGAGGAACACAATAAATAAACATAATGGAATAACAGTTTCATAAAAACAATGCATTAATGAGATATACAATAGTTTAAAAACGACATTGTAAATACGGTAAGTGCTAAAACAAGTTAAAAAGGCTTCTGGGTAAGCAGCTGTAAAAAGTAGTGTTTTTAGCCTCGACTTAAAAGAACTCAGCGTTGGTGAAGACCTCAGGTTTTCTGGAAGTTTGCTCCATTTCTGGGGAGCATAAAAACTAAAAGCAGCTTCGGCATGTTTGGTTCTGAGCCGGGGAACAATGAGTAAGCCCGCCCCTGATGATCTCAGAGCTCTGGGGGGCTCGTAACAGGGCAACATGTCAGACATATATTGGGGTACCAAACCATTTAATCCTTTATAAGTTAACAATATAATTTTAAAATCGATTCTGTAAGCTACTGGTAGCCAGTGCAGAGACCTGAGTACTGGGGTGATGTGTTCTGCTCTTTTTGTTTTGGTCAGGACTCTGGCAGCGGCGTTCTGGATTAGTTGTAGTTTTCTAACCGATTGTTTACAGAGACCTGTTAATACACTATTACAGTAATCAGAATCAGAATCAGAATACCTTTATTAGTCCCACAGAGGGGAAATTTGCAGCGTTACAGCAGGAAAGAGCCACAGACAGCTTAGTGTAGCATATCTGAAATGCGTTAAAAATCAATCAATTAATCAAGCCTGCTAAAAACAAAGGCGTGAACTAGTTTTTCAAGGTCTTGTTGAGACATGAACGTTCTAAGTCTGGCTAAGTTTCTCAGGTGATAGTGTGCTGATTTAGTAATTGTGTTGATGTGGGATTTGAAATTGAGGTCGGGGTCCAGAACTACGCATAGATTTCTCACCTTTTCCGATGTATTTAGCAGTAGGGCTTCTAGTTTAGCGCTTACTTCAGCCCGTTCCTCCCTTTTGGCACCAAAAATAATTGTCTCTGTTTTGTTTTTGTTTAATTGTAGGAAATCGTTGCTCATTATAAAGCTAATGTTGTTGTCTTACAGTGTATGATGCTTGACATGTTACATGTTTCACATGCTTGACATGTTACATGTTTTTTATGACTAGATATATGTTCTCGTCATATCACATGTGGTCTTGTTTTCATGTTGGGCTTTTCTTTTTAAATGTGAAGTATATTGTATGTTGCACTGTTGAAGTTGCCTGAGACTCAAGTTTGACATTGCCAAAACGATGCTATTCTAGCTGTTCAACATTTGACAATTACAGCCCTTACATCTTTGAATGTTTGGAACATTCATAAACATATAAGGAGTTTAGAACTATAATTTTTCAATAAAAACACATTATATTGAAGACCTGTCATACTTTTGGAAGTACTTCATAGAACATCTAAAACACTTACGGCCCGTCCACACAGCAGCTTTAAAAAAATCTTGAAAATCTGGGAGCTGGGCGTGTCTGAAAGCTTGGGGATTTTTTGCGAGCAACGCGACCAACAACCAATCACATGAATCTCCCGCCCCCGACATACAAAGCAAAAAACCCCGGGGATTTTATGCGAGCAATATACATATATAAACTCCCCAAACAGGCGAAAACCTACCAGTTTCACCCACTGTCTCTGCCACCTCCCTCCATGCCTGGTTCCTCCGGTTTTTATACCGGTAAATTAGCTACTGGTCGTAAAGAACCGGGTGATTTGCTACCGTAATTTCTCGTTTGGAATATGAGGAAATGAACTGCAGTATGTCTCTCCCAGCTTGCACGCGGTTTGATTGGCTAGCGCTTGTACTGTCAGATTTGCATAAACGGGATTTGATTGGCTGACGCTTCCACCTCAGCTTCAAAAGTTGAACATTGCTCAACTTTTGAATCCTGAAAATCCTAGAAATCTTCGCTTTGCTTCCCCACAATGCAGTTCGGCTAAAAGCGAGGCAACGTGACGTCACCCCATTCAAAGTGAATGGGCAGAAGCGTTGAAGATTTTTTAACGCTGCTGTGTGGACGGGCCGTTAAGTCTTTTCTTTCTTTTTCTGTTTATTGTATCTATGTGTGGGTTTTATTCTTCTTCCAGTCCAAGGAGAAGACAAACAACAGAATTGTGCTCATTTGAGTTTAATATGAATAAATACTCTAGGTAATTAGTTAATTATGTCCTGTTTTGCTTAACTTGTCTTTTTATTCATCTTGAGTTTTTTGGAGAAATTGCATTTTGTCCAAGTGAGCAGATTATTAGGTGTCACAACAGTTATGCTGATGTGTTCCTTCTTGATCTTTATATTGTTATTTTTAAATAAATGTTCCTTATTTCTTAGTGTATCTGTTGGGATATCAACTCATGTCATCATGCAAAGTAGGAAAGAATAGTAGTGCCTATGTTTCACAACTACACTTAATAAACTTGTATAACATTTGCTGACTCTTAAGTTTTATTCTCCTCCTTCCCCCTTTTCTTTGACAACATTAGGTAACTTAATTGGGACAAAGGTCAACTACCTCCCCCTTCTTTTGTTCCTCACTCTGCCTTTGCTTTTTAGACAGTTGCTGTCTGCCTTGTCAGTAGAGCCAAGCAAAGGGGTAGAGATTCACCAACTTGGAAAGTGTGGAAATGGCAAACATGTTTCCACTCTCATGTAAGTACATTGTGCTATGCATGTTTATTCATGTTTGTAATGTTTGAATTCTTTTTTAAATGTTCAACTTCTCTCCTAACAGCGGATGGGCAGGATCCAGCTAATCTCCGTGACATAAATGAGCCTCTCATTGATCATTCAGAGGGCCAACTCTTCTTGAATGAAGCCTTCAAAATCATTATAGAGGAGGTTCTCTGCAAGGGCACAGACGTCAAGCAGAAGGTGGCCTAAATTGACAATGGCGTCAGATTACAGTGAGTTCTCTGAGCAAAAACTAAAAGTCCATGTGTTCTTCCTGCAGGTCTGTGAGTGGAAAGGGCCTGAAGATCTGGCTCTGCTGCTGGATTTGGAGCTCAGGGCGGAGGGGGAGCCACAACAGAGGCTCCTCCAGAGAGTAAAAGATGTTGCCAAGTACAGCATCAAGACAAGTGAGCCTGCCAGAGACAGCAGAGACATTTACATGTTTAGTAAACCTTATTTTCTGTAATGATGAGACTTTGCTTGTTTCTTCCAGGTCACCCACGTTTCTTTAATCAGCTGTTTGCAGGAGTGGACTATCATGCCCTGGCTGGACGATTCCTCAGTGAGGCTCTCAACACTAACCTGTAAGAATCTAAATAAAATTAATTTTGGCGTTAAGTTAATAAATTATGTATGAATACAGTACGAAATACAACTTTTTTTATGTGTTAATTGCAGCTTTACCTATGAGGTGGCCCCAGTGTTTGTGCTGATGGAGACTGAGGTTTTAAGATCACTGCGGCAGCTGGTTGGCTGGACAGAAGGTGATGGTATTTTCTGCCCTGGGGGGTCTACCTCTAACATGTTTGCCATGAACCTCGCACGCTACCGACTTTTCCCAGAGGTGAAAAGCCAGGGCCTGTGGGCTGTCCCACGGCTTACCATCTTTACATCTGCCGAGGTCAGGAAAAGCTGTTAAACACTGCATGCTTGAGGAGTTTATGTCGCTGTGGAGATTGAAACTGAATCAGAGGATCACACTCTCACTACTGTGTTGTCTCTACATAAATATGTTTGTTTTTCCAGAGCCATTACTCTGTGAAGAAAGGGGCTGCCTTTCTGGGCATTGGGACAGACAATGTCATCGTCGTGAAAGTGGATGAAGGGTAATGTATTTTTTATAAAAAGAGCGGAAACCATTGATAATAAATCAAATTATAATAATCAATGAATGCTTGAGTTTAAGACAAAAAAAAATTACTTTCATCTTATTAAATGTGGGGACATAAAGTTTTCCTTTATTTTGTATATTGACATCTTTTAGACTGTTGGTCGGATAGAAAAAGCAATTTCGAGACATTACGATGTGAAAATACTTTGGTATGATTGGACGTTTTATAGCCTGGACGATTACTTAAAGATCTATAATAATTGATAGTTGTTGGTTTCAGCCCTATACACTATGACAATCAGGGTTCTATATAGTCAGAATAATACATTTTCCATTATATTTTGTGCGCTTTAGAGGCCGCATTAATCCAGAGGACCTGGATGAAAAGATAAAGCTGACAAAATCTCAGGTAAATTCACTAAGCACTGAAATAGATTATATTTAACATGCCCTTTTGTCCCTTAAATTCGTTTTAACAGTGATTATTTGAAAGTTATAGGTTTAAACAATTTGTATATCCTGCAAACCTGAATTCACAGGTGCAAGGATGCTGTGTTCATTTTCAGTTTGTTTCCATCAGGGTGCAATACCTTTACTTGTGAGCTGCACATCAGGGACAACAGTGCGGGGTGCGTTTGACCCACTGGACCGCATAGCTGATGTCTGCGAGAAACACAACGTCTGGATGCATGTAGACGTGAGTGGTCCTCAAGGAGACACATTTAAAACAGTGGACAAGCTTCTGTTGTCTTTGCTCAAGTTTAAGTTTTTTTTTCTGTTTTGTTGTGTTTCAGGCTGCCTGGGGGGGGAGTGTGCTGTTTTCCGAGCAGCACAGACATCTGATGCAAGGGGTTGCCAGGTATTAATATGCCTGATAAAAATACACTTTCACTGTTATAAAGGATACAACTAGATACACAGTTAGGCAGATATGGTCAATATGAACAATGTTCGTGTTTGTTCATACGTTTGTTTGTGTGTGTGAAGAGCAAATTCAGTAGCCTGGAATCCACACAAGATGCTGATGACTGGCCTACAGTGTTCTGCCTTGCTGCTGCAGGATACAACGGTTTGAGGCTACAGCATTATCTGATACAATAATCAAGTTTAACGTTGTATTAATCAGTGACAGTATTTTACTTGTGCTTGTCCTCAGAACTTGTTGAAAAAGTGCCACAGTGCCAATGCCACCTACCTCTTCCAGTTAGACAAATTCTATGATGTCAATCTGGATGTCGGGGACAAGACAGTACAGTGTGGCCGCAAAGTTGACTGTCTGAAGCTATGGTTGATGTGGAAAGCTGTTGGCTCCATTGGCTTGGCCGAGCGTGTAGACAAAGCGTTTAACCTTGTAAGGTAGGCATCCAGCTGAAGTAAAACACAAACCTAGTATAGTTGAAATTCGAATTGATATTATCCTATTGAGACAAAATAAAAGCACTGCTGTCTATCTGTTTGTTGAGCTGTAATGAAGATTAAAAGAAAATGTTATTCTGTTATATCGCCTCGTGCGGAATGCTTTTGCAATACTATGTTTAAAAGGTGGTCATGCCAATAAAGCCCCTTGTATTGTATTGTTATTTGTTAACATCCCTCTTGCAGGTATCTGGTGGAGCAAATGAAGAAAAGGGAAGGGTTTCATCTTTTGTGGGAGGTGAGTAAATATCTCAAGCATGCTGATATCATATCATACTGAAGATTAAATGTTTTCACCCAGAGTACCTGTTTGTTTTTCTCCACGGGCAGCCAGAGTTTCTGAATGTATGCTTCTGGTTTATACCGCCCAGCATGAGGGGAAAGGAAGGAAATGCAGATTACCAGGACAGACTGGCAAATGTAAGTCTCACTGGATTGGGAACGGAAAGACTCAATGATTGTGTTTCATGCTTTGTTAATAAAACACCAAGGCCACCATCTTAAAGCATTCACCTCAGCAGAGCTTCTGAATCAAAAAGTGTGTGTTTTTGTTCTTGATAATAGGTAGCTCCAGTCATCAAGGAGCGAATGATAAAGCAAGGCACGATCATGGTGGGCTACCAACCTTTGGGAGACAAGGTCAACTTTTTCCGCATGATTGTCCTCTCTACGCTGGTTTCCAAGGAAGATATGGACTTCTCCCTTGACGAAATTGAAAGACTGGGAAATGACTTGTAAACAAAGCAACTTGAAAGAAGTGTTTTCTAGACCTTAGAAGTTGTGCATTATGCGTTGTATTTTAATGTTGAAACTTTAACAAACAGCCTGACTGTACCATTTAGATATTTGATTTGCTCAATTAAGACAGTTGTCATATTTATAATGATATACTTAAGCAATAGCTCACGACATAATTTCTATGCTTTGTTTCAAGACCCGCATCAGAAAGCTTTTGATTGGTGCTACTTTTCCAGTTGGTCTACCTGCTCTTCACGTAGCTCTGCATGTCGTAGTTTAGGTGCTTTTTTCTGGAGATAGGCACTGCTCAATCCAATCCTCCATTCTATAGTAAGACCCCCCCGGAGGTCGAAGTTAATCTTAAATGTTTCCATTTTATGCTTTGTAAATTTGTTTCGTAGCGGAAGAAATTTAAATATATTTATAAAACTGACAAGTCAAATCAAGCAATCTGATTGGTCGATAGCGTTTTTGCGGACCTCTTTGATTATAGATTTGAAAACATCGTTGTTTGCTTTAAAAGTAGCACAATTCATTANGAAGCGGAGGGTCGACAACCCCCTTAGCTGTGATATAATGAGCATATATCACGGCCTGAAGTGAGCTATTGCTTTTATAAAACGGTTACCAAGTGTGGCAATATGAAAGAAAAATACACACTCTAATTTAAATAGTTTTTATTAGTAAATAATGATGTTCAAAATAAAATAGTCCCTCCGTTGCCTTCTGCACAAAACATAGTGCAAGGTGGTTGCAATGTAACAACACTAACAGCGAGCGAACATATTAGACAGAGAGCGTTGATCCATTATTTGGCTGTTTATTTACATTAATGTGTATGTTGCTGTTTATTGTGCATCCACTGAAAAACTGTCCAGCATCAGTAGCAT